ATGATATAATTTTCTCCGTGAAGGAGACATTCACCATATGGACGGTGTGACAAAGATCTTGTAGTAAAAATTAACTAAGAGCTCCGGAAGAACTAATTTGTTACTATCTGGATGAACGAAATTGTAGTAAGTCTCAAATGAAACTTTTGAGTTTCAAATATATTAGCCAAAGTGGTTGGCATTTGAGACTATAAATGAAAGGAAGATTGAATATCTTCATATAACTATAATCATACCGGGTAAATAAGAAAGGTTACCCGATTTTTCTTCTATTTGTACTACAGGTGTATAAGCACGATGATGGAATCACATGCCATAGTAAATTAAATGTTTACTGAAATAAACATCGGTTGGCATGACCGGTAGGCCATCCCGGCTCAATTATAATGCAGAAAATGATTGAAAATTCACATTGGCATATATTGAAGAATTAAGAGATTCTTTGAGAATTCTCATGTACGACTTGTTCCCGTGGTAAATTGATTACTATACCAGCTAAGGTTAGGATTGTATTCCCTGATTGTTGGAACGTATAAAAGGTGATATATATATATGGGTCAGTCACCTGCCATGTAAACTATTTACTATTATATGATTTTAATAGATACGTTTATTATATGGTCACATGTGCGTTTGTTATGAACTTGCAATTTGAATTTTGCAAGGTTGATTGCTCATATTATTATAGCACATTTCCAGAATATAAATTATGATAATTATCTTGATAATGCTGGTTTAAATCCAAGTTGGTTTATCAGAAATTATATGCCTCCAATTAAGCTAAACCATTAGTTATGAGAATAAAACTACCAAATAGAATTTTTGTATGAGATGCATTATTTAATATACAACAACACTTGTATGCATCTAGCCAAGTTATAATAAATTCTCCCTATCACAATTGGTTCAGGATCAGGAACCAAATGATTTTTATCTTGAAATACGAATGTGTTATATGATTTAATTATCTCACCACAATGCACAAAGATGGATTCCTAAAGAAGGTTGGGAAATGTGTTGGTGATCCCAAAATTAGGGGGAGAAAATGGGCAGTTAAAAAAGTGATACGTGGAATGAATTATTATGAATACATCTAGATTTCCGTACAAGAAAATGTGAACTTGAAATTCAAGTGATAATTTATTTCTGAAATATTGATAGACGCATTTGCTGACCCAAAGCTAAATGTTATATTTCAGCTGCTAATGCTACAAATAAAGCAAAGTCTATGATGGACATAGTCTATGGAACGTATGAAGCGTAATAGACTAATCAGTTCCAAAGATAAAACTCCTTGAAGAAGGAGATGAACAAAAGATAACGATGGTCATACTAAGGAGGCAAGTGCTCTATAAGAGCACCATGGCATAACACTTTATAAGACTTTATGGGAGAGGCTCAAGTACCTGAATATTAAGATCTCCATAAGTTATGTTTTTATTGTGTGATGATGGAACCAATGTAAAATGATCACTGACGATATTGTTGATATAATATAGCGTGCAACATTATTAATATTGATGAGGATCTTGAGCTCAAATCCATCCTTGGACAAATAAATAATTGGCCAAATGAAAATTGACTTCACCTGAAAAATGTGAAGTTGGACGGATAGTCCTAACACCTGAAAGTGAAATGAAAAATCAAGTCGATAGACATAAAGACGACTTGTGGCACAAGATTTTTAGCAAATATCCTGGCATTAGTAATATGGAGATATGTTCTCCTGTGGTGGATGAAATCATTTTCAGGTTTTAATTTGGTAATACATAAAAAACTTGATACATGTATATTGGAAATTCTTGAAGGATTTATATTGTTCTGAGGCATATTAAGGTTCCCAAGAAACTTATTAGATAAAGCTTCATCCTTATGTGGATTAGACCAATCATGGCGTACATAGTTTATTTTTGTGTCTAGTGCAATTGATGCACTAATGTATCTTGCTAAAACCATGAGTAAACAATATGCTAGCGAGATATAGTTTTATTCCTATATAAAGATACTAGAATACTATTAGTATTATATTGCAAAAGGAATCCTTGATATCGATTTATTTATTCTAACAAATATTGTTAAGGTTTTGTTGGTTATGAAAATGCAGACATTTTTTGAAGTGCGTTCTTCGAATAATTTATTTGTATGTGAGGGTATTGCTATATTATTATTTCGCAAGATGAGTGACTTCTCTTTGAAGTGAAGATTCCAATAATAGTGAAGACGCTGATGTTTTCTTATCTCAATTGAAAGAAGGATATATTGAAGGAGATAGAATAAATCATATATTTCTTCAAAGTTTTTTATTAGACACAATTTTGACTGAGCGGTGAAATAGATGTCCAATAATTTGTTCGCTTGATAATTTGGTGTTCCGTTCAGTGAAGTATGAGCAACCTCAACATTTGAGAAGTTAGTATACACGGTTGGAACACATTATCTCGGAGAAATAAATTGATTTTTTCATCAGGAGGAGGCAAATACGCGTTGTACTCTTTTTTCCTTTAGCTAAGATTTTATCCCACTGGTTTTTTCTAGCAAGGTTTTTAATGAGAAAGCAAATAATGCGTATTACAAGATATGTGTACTCTTTTTCCTTCACTAAGATTTTTTCCCGCAAAGTTTTGTTTCTTAGTAAGGTTTTAATGAGGCACATTATTGTGGACAACCAAGGGGGAATATTACGAAATACAAATTATATGGATGTTCACTAATCAAATATAACTTCCACTACTCTTCTCCATTATGTAGCTAATCCCCACTACTTCTCATCATTATAGTTGTAACTCTCACACCTCCATAACCTCCCCGTGATCTTCCCCCATGTTCTCATAGTTAATACCATATTCATGACATCCCTTTGTATTACCTCAATGTCATCCTATAAATAGAGAGTTTGGGTATGATATTGTATACACTTGACTACATGTAAGAAATAAGAATCTCTCGTCTCTTTTTCTCTATATCTCTTATCTATTTTCTTGTTTTATGTTATTGCTTTGAGCTTAGTTTCTTAACAATTTTTAGTCTTTGTCATATATATATATATATATATATATATATATATATATCTTTTTAGGATTTTATTTAATTTAAAATTAGCAATGATGATTCCACAAATTTAAGTTAGTTCCATTTTGATTCTTGTAGACGAACTGTATTCATTTGTGCGATTCATCAGAAATTTAACTTTCACCTTACCTTTGCCTTTTTCATTTTTTATTTACACTTTTAACCATGTCAACCGATTGACATAAAAGAAGAATCAATTGCATCCTATTAAGAATTACAAATATATAATACAGATCACAGACACGTAACTGTAATCGAGATTTTAATGATGTTATCATAAGTGGAACTTTATTCTAAAAGATTTAATTGTTTAATTGAACTTGACTTTTATTCCCTATCTTTTGAAGCACTAATCCTTGTCTTCATTTTTTCTCCAAAATTGAATAAAATTACTCCAATCATTACTTTATTTTTTACTCCAAAAAAATAATATTTAATTTCATATTCTTCTCTCTCTTTAATATTATATTATTAATTTTTATTTTAAATTTTATTTTCTTATTTCTATTAAAGAAATTCTATCTTTTTTTACATATTCATCATATATTATTTTATATTTACACCATTCATTTTTTGAGATGATTATATATTTTTTGTACAATTATACTTATAATAAAATTAACTTACAATTTTACGTAAAAACATTAAATGCACGAAAATTAATTTATCAAAATTATATGCTAAAGTTAAGATGTAAAATTAATATGATAAAGATATTACATAAATATAATTAGGTATATATAAAGAAATAAATTATAAGAATTAAATAATAAAAATAATAATAAAGTAATAGAGAATAGTAACAGATGAGATGAATAGTGTTACTCCAAAATTTCCCATTTTGCAGCTAAAAATGCATAACCAACTGCATTATAGCAAATGCACTTGGCCTAACAAGTAACAAAAACAAAATTCTCAACTATAGTAGAAACAACAACAATAATAATATACTCAATATTATCTCACACCGTGTGGTCTGAGAGAGTAGTGTGTATGCAGACCTTATCCCTACCTTGCGAGAATAGAAAGGTTTCGAATAGACCCTCAGCTCAGGATAGCATAAGTACCACATTAATAAAATTTTTGATAAAAAGAGACAGTACTAAAAAGTCATATAAAAACGGAATAAAAACGAGACAATAAGGTGATCACTAGGGGTGTTCATGGTTAAGTTTGGATCGGTTTTTCCCTAAAAAGAAACCAAACCAAGTAAGTTGGTTTTTCAAATATTAGAACCAAACCAAACCAATTAAGTCGGTTTTTTCTCGATTTGGTTTATGTCGGTTTTTCGGTTTTTTCGGTTATTTATCGGTTTATTCTTAAATATAAGACATACACTACCAAACACATATTTCGGCGACCACATTTTCAACGTAACACTATCAAATCAATTTTCCTTTGAGAAATCTATTATTTACCAAGATATATTGATGATAATTGAATCAAATAATGATGAATAATTTAAGGACTCAATTAAAAATATATTATTTTTAACATGAAGTAGATTCTTACACTTAATAAACGAAAACTGCCAATTAAAACTAGAATGTAAAGGTAAAGAACTATACTAAAAGTGCAAACGATTAATATTTACTATAAAAATTTTAAAACTTTGTATAAAAGTATACATATATATAGATGTAATAATAAATTTAAAATAGCTACTATTATACTCGGTTTGGTTCGTTTTTTTAATTAAAATCAAACTAAATTTGATCGATTTTTAAATTTCAAAACCAAAATCAAACAAAGAAATATCAATTTTTTTTGATCGATTTGATTTGGTTTTCGGTTCGAATTTTCGTATTTTTATAAACATCCTAGTGATCACTAAAAAGAAAAAAAAAGTTGCGGCTGGCAATTACTGAAAACAAGGAATAACACGCGAGAGATTTTGATTAAGCACGTGAAGTCGGCTGTAGACTGAAAACTACTGCTGAAGAGCTGTGAAGGCATCTTTTCACTCTTCAGTACTCATTAATTGTGGCTGTGGCGAATGAAGATGACAAACAACTCAACTTATAGTAGGAGTATTTTAATTCGACATAATAATAGTAGTCGTCGTGCTATTTTGGAACTTTAAATCTTTTTCCCCATATTTTCCTCGTTCTCCACCTAATTTAATTGTACAGAGACCACAGTTGACATTGCCCTTTCTTCCCCTACTCCTTTATATTTTTCACTCCCTTTCTCCTCACTCTTTCTGTAATTTTCTTGAAAAAGAGTTTTTTTTTTTTTTTGCTCAAATGGATTTTTCCAGATGGGTTTTCTTGATTTTGATTTTGATTTCATTTTCTGCCATACCCATTTGGTCAGACTCTTCATTATCAGAAATTCCTATTAATTTCCTCAATTTTGCAAAGAAAGCTGAGGTTTTTGATTGGATTGTGGGGGTGAGGAGAAGGATACATGAGAATCCTGAGCTGGGATATGAAGAATTTGAGACCAGTAAGCTTATAAGGGAAGAATTGGATAAATTGGGGATTTCATACAAATACCCTTTTGCTACTACTGGTGTTGTTGGTTTTATTGGTTCAGGAAAATCCCCTTTTGTTGCAATCAGAGCTGATATGGATGCTCTTCCTATGCAGGTTCAAAATCAAATCTTTTCTCTACTTTGATTTATGTGAAACTGATTGATTCTCTTTAAATGCTGCTGGATTTTATTAAATTCTGATTGTCCTCTTGGGTTTTGATGTAAAACTTGTGTTCTTTGTACTGATATACTGATTAACAAAACAACAACAACAACCGTCAGTGTGTACGCTGACCTTACCCCTAACCCGACGGGTAGAGAGGCTGTTTCTGATAGACTCTCGGCTCATGAAGATGGAAATAAAACAAGAAGATACAACTCATTAGTAACCAAAAGATAAATGACATGCAATAAAAGTAACCAGTATTTAAGGTCGGGGCTAAGATAATCGGAAAGGAAAGTGTGGACTCAACATAAACCACAAGCCATCTAAGATCAACCCTATCCAACCCTGCCTCACCCAGGGTATGAAGTAGGAAAAGCTCTACTACCCCCTAGCCTACAACCCTAATGCTTGACCTCCGGACCTTCCTGTCAATGTTGAATATGAATTTAAGCAAGGAGAGATTTTCCTGTCTTCAATTTGGCAAAAGCAATTAGTTGAAATGGATTTAAGCTATATAACCCGACATTGTAAAGATTTTTTTTATATCAATGAATTTTAACCTATGATAGCAGTCACTCACCATTTGTTACCAGACTACTAATTAATATTTATCGAGAGATTTACTTGTAATTACGTAATAAGTGACTTGATTGTGTATATATCTTTTACATCGTCAGTGCATAGAACTTAAACTCTTAGTTAATACATCTTAATTTTAACAGGAAATGGTGGACTGGGAGCACAAAAGTAAAAATGCTGGAAAAATGCACGCGTGTGGCCATGATGCTCATATTGCTATGCTTCTCGGTGCTGCAAAAATTCTTCAAGAACATCGAGACATTTTGAAGGTTTGATTCTTGTATTAGGAGTATCACATCTGCTCATGATTTAACTCTTTTCCCATTTTGCAGTTTGCATTTTATCCATTGAATGAATGATCTTTACTTGTTTGGCATGCATGCTGGTCCGCTGGATGAGTTTTATGGCCAATTTAATTGATCAAAGAATCTAAGCTTTATTTTGCTTACGTTCTAAGGAAATATATTAGAGCATCTGATTACCTTTTAGCAAATACCATATCTAGTAATCTTAATGAATCGATATCCTATTCCTCAGCGCGTCATCACTTTTTTGTTTGTCATATATGCTCTTCGGGCAGCTGAAATTTCCTTGGCTTAATATTTTTGACAGGGAACAGTTGCTCTTGTTTTTCAACCAGCAGAGGAGGGAGGTGGTGGGGCGAAGAAAATGATAGATGCTGGAGCACTAGAAAATATAGAAGCAATATTTGGTCTGCATGTCAATCCCCAGTTTCCTCTGGGTAAAGTTTCTTCAAGGCCTGGACCTTTTTTGGCTGGAAGTGGTTTTTTCGAAGCTGTAATTAGTGGAAAAGGGGGTCATGCTGCTATTCCACAACATTCGATAGACCCAATTCTTGCAGCATCAAATGTAATTGTCAGCTTACAACATCTTGTTTCCCGAGAGGCCGATCCTCTGGATTCGCAGGTATATTTCTCCCCTTACATGCTGCAGCTGCTAGTCACTATTAACTTGTTGCAGTGTCCAAATAGCCGTGAAAAATTCAGAGCAATTGTCATGATTTTATTACTTGGGAATTGTTTGTCCAGCAAGAGAACTTTGAATTGCAAACAAGATTCAAATTAGAGAAGTGACTCTATCCTTGCTCTGAACCTGGAAAATGTGACATTAATCATAAATATTTCCAATGACCCTGTGGTCTCCAAAAGAGGTTTATACCTCTTTGTTTTCAGACACTGACTGAATATTCAACCATACCGTATTTTTTTGGACAACATAAATCTCCCTATGGCTGGTGACTTCTTAATCAAACAAAAGTGAAATTTACCTCAAATTTTCCTCTTCCGAGCGTCTAAGAGAGTCCAATTGTCTAAATTGGAAGCAATCCATTAGAAATTACTCAATCAAGTAGTGCAGCCCTTTTCTTGGCTCCCTTGCTTTGATTCACCATATGCTTGTTCTACTCCGGTAATGTCCTTTGTAAAATGGAGAACTTTATAAAAGTGCTTAAACGGAATAATTTGCAAGTTCCTGAATAACGTCGTTAGTGCTTGGGTTCAGTCCACCATAAACTTCATGGACTCAAAACTGTTAGATTTTGGATATCAACCAGATTCCAACAGTGGTGCTGACAACATTTCTCGCCAGAAAATCCAAATTGAGAATCTTATATTAGATAAAGTCATGCATAAATCTTGAACCGATGAGCCTAGCCAATAAAGCTTTGATCACTGAAGCAACAGAAAGCTTCTTCTTCTTTTGGACGAAAGAATTTTTATTCCTTCATCCTCAAGAAAAGAATTTTCTATTCTCTTGGATGGAAAATGGAACTATATTTAAAGAAAGAGGGATTAGTGTAGTATTGTTTGAGATTTGAGGGTCAAAATCTCTTCTTTCCTTAAGAAAACTCAACATTTGCAATTATCGATAGTAAGTGATTTCTTCTCCCTGTTCTGATTTCTGTTTTGAGAGCAAAAGTCGTATCTTATGAGATGATGCTATATATGGAAGGATTATTTAAAGACTTTTTAACTCTCTCTCACTGAAATTGAGCAATGACTAGCACACGTACTGTATTGTTTATGTTTTTAGAAATTTTATCCTTATAATAACTAATAAGGATTGGCATACCTCAACAGATGGTTCTCATTTTCCAACTTAGTCATTTAGTTATATTTGACATAAAGTATGATGCACAGGTAGTCACAGTTGCTAAGTTCCAGGGAGGTGGTGCATTTAACGTTATTCCAGATTCTGTTACCATCGGTGGCACTTTTCGGGCCTTTTCAAAGGAGAGTTTTCAGCAGCTTAGGCAGCGAATTGAGGAGGTAGGATCAATTCTTAAATTAGTCAGATTCTTCGCAATTCTCTTTATTTAATCAGGGTTTTAGTTATCTCATTTTATATGCTGCATATGGATTGAAATCACATGCTCTTCCAACCGCAAAGCCCCCTTATGCTTTGGTGTCTCAACATTCTTTACATTTTTTCAGATGTTATAATGGCCAAATATGTTGCAAATTGTCTTGTTTCCTTGATTTGTTCGGCTTCTACAGTCTCATTCTGTTTAGCCATGCTTTCTCCATAGTAGAGACACTAATTCTCGTCTCGCGTAGGTTATTGTAGGGCAAGCTGCTGTACAGAGATGCAATGCAACTGTGGATTTTCTTACAAAAGAGAAACCCTTCTTCCCTCCAACCGTGAACGATAAAAACTTGCACAAACACTTCCAGAGAGTTGCAGGTGATATGCTTGGTAACGATCATGTAAAAGACATGGAACCGCTAATGGGATCAGAGGATTTTGCGTTTTACCAAGAGGTTATTCCTGGTTACTTCTACCTACTCGGAATGCAGGAGGAAACGAATGAAAAACTTGTTTCAGTACATTCACCTTATTTTAAAATCAACGAAGAAGCACTTCCTATCGGTGCTGCACTTCAAGCATCTTTGGCTATCACATATCTTCTCGAAGCACAATCACAAGTTCCTTCGTCAAGTATAAGTGATCATCACGATGAATTGTAAGGTGCTGCACTTTTCTAGACAATGCAGACCTAAATATACCCACTTGTTCATTTTTATGTATTGTTGCTAGAACTGGCTTTTCTAGCTTAAACTGTATATCTGGAATGAGTCGGTATAGTTAGAAAGGTCAATGTTTATGCAACAATTGTTTTCGTTCCTTTTCTCTTTAAACATATTCAAATAACTGTATCAAGTCGGAAGTCAGCGAACAACCTTCAGCTGTCTGTAATTCCAATTCAGACATAGATTTTGTTAGTAATTTACATCTCTTGTTCTTTTCTTTTAAAATTTTATGTTCTTTTGATATGGATGTACCATAGACTTGTTCTTTGAATCAACAGTTACGTTGAGTTTTCGCTGTACAGATGGTATTGGAGAGTCATTGTGGCGCGGTGGCTGAGTTGTGACTGAACACTTCAAGTCAGTTTGTTCGCAAAGTATTACCAAGAGTACTAACTAGTAAATTTGATATTTGAGAAAACATCAAAACAACAAAACTACGACTCAATCTCAAACAAGTTGGGGTTAGCTATATGAATCCTCATTTCCCCATCTGTCTCAAAATAAAAAGCAACGTGATACGACATCACATAGGAGAGAGCATTGTGAGCATGTCACACCATGTTATCAGCATTGTATGTACTGATGCATCTAATTAGCTAGTATGGAACTCAACTGATCATAGCATCTAATTAGCTACAAATCGCGTATAATTCTAGAAGCCCAAAAACTTGGCTGAATGTTCTAACAAAGGATCCAAAGCACTAGGAGCAAATTTTCTGGCAAAAAGGAAACAAAGTGAAGTCGGCTGGTTATTGTATATACAGAGCGGGCTATCAGAAATTTTCTTGAAAAATTGATCAGTAATATCGGCCTTCCCAAATGTAGCAGGATGAGCACCACCCCTGGACCAGTCCACCCAAGTGAGAGTCCGGTTAGCCAGGAGGCTAGGCGATTCTATGGTCAGCATCGTTGGAAAATAGTGCTCGTCCACGTAACATGCTGGCCTGCAGAACTGCTCAAACTTAGGGTAGTATAACTCATCTTTAACAATGTCAACAGCTAGTTTCCTGTTGACTTCAAACCACTGGGATCCTTTACGCCAGTCAGTGAGGTTAACTTCAGGTGTCATATTTGGATTATAACGTCCTCTTCCATAAGGTCCAGGTTCATCTACTGCACCCATAAAGCTATACCTGGATCTTGATATGTAGTGATATACAGCTTTGAAGTTATGGAGAGGAATGCATGCCTCGGATAGGAGGACAAACCATTCGTTGGAGATATCAAGCAGTGCATTAGCAAGAAGCCGTCTTTCAGCATCACACATACTCATTCTTCCCCACTCTGCCACCTACACAAAAAGAAGCAACAGAATTATCACACTGATCAATCATTTCACTACTGGCCTTGACATTCCTACTTCTCGTATACCAAATGTTCACCAAGATTTAGGCTCATAGACTGCTTAGTTGCAGCAAAATGTGCCAGCAAGAGGCGTACAAACATTTTTTGCAGACACATCTGCAAGAAGGATTACCAGCGAGCTTCATCCTTCAGTCACCAAAATAGTGCATATAATTTTTTAAACTAACGAATATGCATCATCCATCATGGACATATATATGAAACTATTCCCTACAGATTTATCGAAGGAAATAATCCTTCATAAATGGCCTTCTCTTCCCCTAAGGAAATACTTCAACCAGTGTCTGAGATAGACAGTGGAATGTTAGTAGAAAGTGGTTAATGTATAATATCATCTAAGCATACTTCAGAACCCAGAACAGCAGAAGCAGATTTTCACTATGATATTCGAGAAATCCATCTCATCTGTTCATAACTTGTTGCCCCAAAAGTCTCATCTTAATATCACACATTAGAATTCAGTGAACTACTGTAGCAAGATCTTTCGTTTTGGTTTCTTTCTTTATTTAGATTTAAGTGTTGGAAATATACCAGAACATTTGTATTAAAGTACAGTAATTCCTGGCATACATTAAGCAAATGTTGTGGTACAAACTTCCTAAAATGGAGAAGATTCCCTGGTAACATTTCACAGTTCACTAGTTCCAACCACAAAAATAAGTGTTTCAAATGAGAAAAAGTGATTTAGAAGGTTTGCATGGCGTCACTAGCTGTCACAAATATTCAGAAACCCCCTAGATGAACACGTCTATGCGCCAACTTATGTAACAAGAGAACCAAGCAAGTCTTTATCCGACTTTCACTCAGTTTAATCCTTAATGATGTTGCTGCAACAACAAACAAGTTTGCAACTTTCAATGATCTAGACATTGCCTCAAATACAACACCGTGGCAGTAACATATAACCTAGGCATACATGGACCAGAACATGATGAGCTACAAGAAAGAACACATTTTCCCCCAGTACTACTCCTACCTTTGGACAACTTGAGGAATCCTGTAACCATCAACATTAAAGAAGAAAAAGACCACCAACTATGAATCTCCATAATTATGTTCAAATATGCCAATTGTCTTTTGAACAAAATGTATCACTCGCTATTGCTGAACTTTCTGGTTAAACCTTAAAATGTTTCTGCAGCATGACTCCAAAGGTCTTAAAAGAAGCTATATGAGAAAATAATACACAACAGTTTAGCTGTAACGAGTCCCAGTACAATGGCAGACCAACATAAGCATTCAAATAGTTGAAATCCTATGCGAGATCTGCTTCAACAACCAAGTTCGAAAGGGGCATAAAACACAGAAATATTATGGTAGACCAAGACTTGGGCCTACCAGATACACTCATAAGAATGCCAAAGTGATAATAACACAGATTAGGTAGAGCAGGTCTAAGGTGGCAGCTATTGCAAGGTTAAATTTGTACACATAATGGAAAGAACAAATTCAAGCATAATGTACAATTAGGAAGGAAAGAAGAAGCTCAATTTACCTGACTAGGAATTTGCCTGCCGTGAAAAACCGATGAAGGTGGGAAATCAGGTTTGTATGATGGCAAGGAATGAATGTAGATCGAATAAAGCTCCTCATTCCCCTTGAGAAACCTCTCCCACAAAGGCGCTAAAGGCAACGGTCCTCTAGTCAAGAACATGAATGCGATCTTACGCGTTCTATTAAAAGGGTAATCTTTGATTTGAGGAACAATCGAAGCTCGCCAAAACAACTGAGTATCATTCATCGAATGCAATAGATTCGACGGAGGTCTAATCCAACTCTCTAAACTAAGTTGTTGAATACAGGGCTGAAACCTTGATTGTACCATAGGGATTACATTCTGAACTACTGAATATCGAACCATATACATACTAACAAATGAAAATACAATACCAAGACCCAAAAATAGCAATAGAAATTGAAGTAATCTTAATGGTAAAGGCTTATACTGAGTTACCACCCTAGTACTAAGATCTTTACCCTCCTCCAATGACCCGTGACTCCCTACTCTTGACTTCATTTCTAATTCTACCGATACTTCCAAGTACAATAATTGAAGGAAAAAATCAGATTTTTTTAATCCCAGATTGCTATTTTGAGCTTGAAGAGAATGGCACAGAGAATATAACTATCTTCAGAAATTCAACAATGGTATGTGGTTCACAAAATTTTACAGCAAAAAGCAAGGATTTTTAGGCAATAAAATTTCAACTCCAGATCAAGAAAATGAGATCTCAAGATTTGGCAAGTGATTAACTTAGGCAAGAAATGGTGAAACAGATATCATGGAGTTGGAGCAAGAAAATGAAAGCTGAAATGAATATTGAGCTAATTTTGTTACTGAGATTAATAAATGAGATAGTATGGGCGTGATTGAAGGAGCCAAATTTATGAATAATCCAGAGACCAAAAAGACGTTTGAGTTTGAAGAATAAAACAGAATCTTGTTGTTCTCACTCACACCAAATCTGTTGTGTAGCCTTAGCTTGTTGATGACATCTTTGGCCAAACGTGGAGAAATTTAAAGGGTTTTCTAATACATTGAAGAGTTGTCTTTGTTGGGAAACTGAAAGGATTATTTTGATGAGGAGAGAGAGAAGGGAAAGTAGAGCATGTAGGGGTGTGTGTGTGTGTGTGTGTGTGTTTGATTTGTTTGTTGGTTGGACGAACCTAGATGTTTGCGTACTTAGATTTGTCTTGTGCTTTTACATTGTAATGAGCATTTATTTTGCGACTTCACCAATAAAACACATGAAATAAAATACAGTATCCTCACGTAACTTTTGTCCCCTTTCTTATTGGTTTTTGTCTTTTAATTTTCTTCAGATCCGAGGGTCGAGGATTGAACTTTCCAATCATTTTCTCGAATGCTATTCTTTCTATTTGTTCCTTTTTGCAACTTTAAGAGTAGTCCATTTTTCTACCAGCACCATAATATTACAATCACACAGACTAGTTATTCAATCACTAATGTTTTTTTATTGTGTTGTTTTGGGTCAGTTTGTTTGTGTACACTTCGACACATTTTGTCGGGTTTACTATCTTCCACAGACATAAGTAACTTTACTGGGTGACGGAGCCATAATTTTTCCTATGAGAATTCAGAATCTAAAAAAGCAACACGTGAAGAAATTAAAGTGACTCATTATCTACATAAAACTAATTTTGTCTTTACTCCATCCCCTAACTCTATCCATTGACTATATTTGCCTCCGTTTGAATTTGAATTTAGAACTTCATAATTCTTCTACCACTTAATTGATCACTATAATTATTTATTTATTTATTTATTAAGTCAAAGTGAGATATTTTCAAAAACTAAACCGACCAAAGCTAAAGTTTCTCAAAAAACTATTGCAATTTTATTTCAGAAACATATTTTCAAAACAGTATTCGAAAAAAACAGGTGAAATTAAAAAATAGCCAAATTTACAAGTAGTAATTGAAAAATAGCCACAGTTTCAAAAGTAATCGAAATTTAGTCACTTTTCATTTAAAGATAAATTTGAACGAAAATATTATTCAAAATCCAGAAAATATTCCAGCATAATATACTGGAGTTCCAGCATAATATACGAGAGTTCCAGCATAATATGATGGAAGTTTATACATAGGTGATCCAATTTCCAGTATATTATGCTGGAACTTTCCGTGTGCTGGAGTTACAACATAATATGCTGGAAGTTCATACACAGGTGCATCAATCTCCAGTATATTATATTGGAACTTTCCGTATTGCATAGTGGCTATTTTTCAATGACTTTGTAAATACTAGCTATTTTTCAATTATCAATCCGAAAACTGGCTAGCCCGTGCTATTTTCACGAAAAAACTCTTA